CCGAAAGTTCAAAAATCGCCGGAAAATGACTTGTCAGACGTTCGTGGAGTTAAGAAAATTTTGAAGACTCCCAGAGCCCCAAAATCGCCCAAGAACGATTTAACAAACGTCGAAGGAGTTGAAACAATTTTTAGAACTCCCAAAGTGCAGAAATCACCGGAAAATGATTTGACACGTGTCAGCGGAGTTAAGAAAATTTTGAAGACTCCGAAAGTTCAAAAATCGCCGGAAAATGACTTGTCGAATGTTGTTGGAATTAAGAAAATTTTGAGAACTCCCAGAGCACCAACATCACCCATGAATGATTTAACAAACGTCGGTGGAATTAAGAATATTTTTAAAACTCCGAAAGTTAAAAAATCGCCCAAAAACGATTTGACAAACATTAAAGGAGTAAAAAAGATTTTTAAAACACCAATAATTCAAAAGTCACCTAAAAACGATTTGACAGACGTGAGAGGAGTAAAGCAAATTTTCAAAACTGTTAAATCACCTATAAATGACTTGTCTGATCTTGAAGGAGTACAAGAACTGTTCGTTACTCCCAAAAACGAAACTTCTTCCAATTTACAATCTTCCAAGGTTCAAAAATCGCCTCGGAACGATCTCACGGATGTTAGAGGGGTAAAAACTCTTTTTAAAACTCCTAAAAAACACCCAGTGGATATTTTATCGGATTTCGAAGGTTTGAATACGATATTTTCAACACCGAAGTGTGAAGAAGAGACACCTCATTTGAAAACCTCATCACCTCCGAGAACAAGGCGTGGTCGCGCTAAACGACCAATGGCAGTATCTCCCGCACAGGAAACGGAAACACTTCAAAAACGAAACCGACGCATGCGTAAAGAATCAGAAACGAGTGAAACTAACCTTAAAACACCGCAAACCGAAGAAGTGGAAGTAAAAGTGCGAAAAATGCCAAGAAGAATTAATAAAAAACCAGCAGAAGAGGAAATGGTAGTATCACCAAAACACACAACTGACCTAAAGACACCACAGCCTGAAGAAGTGGTACCAAAAACACGAAAAAGGCCAGGAAGAAATAATAAAAAAGTTGCAGAAGTTGAAAAAGAGGAAATGGTAGTATCACCGAAGCAAACAGCTGACCTTAAAACACCACCGTCTGAAGAAGTGGTACCAAAAACGCGAAAAAGGCCAGGAAGAAATAATAAAAAAGCTGCAGAAGTTGAAAAAGAGGATGTGATAGTTTCATCGGAACAAATCACTGACGTTAAGACACCGCAAATTGAAGAAGTGGATACAAAAACGCGGAAAAGGCCGATAAGGAATGCAAGAAAAGATGCAGAAGTTGGAAAAGAGGAAGTGACAGTTTCGCTGAAGAAAACAAGAAGTAGGAAGAGGAAGAATGAAGAAGTGATTGAAGTTGTTGCAAGAAGTGGATCGCTGGGGGGTGAAAATGTGAAAGAGGAGACGAAAAAGGCCACAAAAACTACTAGACGAAAGAAAATGGATGAGACAGTTGATGTAGTGGAAGTTAAAGAGGAGAAAAGTACAAATAAAAGAGGAAAAAGAACAAAAACTGAGAATGTCGTGCAGGACACGGAAACTGATAACATTAGTTCACAACGTACATACAATACTCGCAGTAGGGTGAAGAAATAACATGAGTTTTAAATTTTTAGTTTTAATTTTTATCCATGTTTATATTAAATATTATTAACAATTGTTTCCATTTAAATAAAATATAACTTCAAGTATATTTGTCTATAGTGACAGAAAAGTAACTAAGATACCGACATCCTTCACCCAGAAAGTACCGTGCGATCAAAAATAAATAAATTAGAGTAGGCGGTGATTAAAGTCCTTCAGATGGCAATCCTGATTTTTGACATCAAATGACAAGTTTGCTTTTTATTCATTTTGAGTGAAATAATGTTCACTTTAAAACAGAAAATTTTTATTGTTGCAAGTTATTACAAAAATGCTGTACAAGACGAAAACGGCGAATGGTCATTATCACTTTCAGTTTGTGTGGAAAATTTCCAGCCAATGTGTTGCCAACTGTAGAATTTAATCGACGCCTACTCTAATTTATTATTTTTTTGATCGCACGGTACATTCTAGTAAGAATATAACAAAATAAATACAGTTATCTATTTCATTATTAACCATTTCATTTCCTGGCTAATCAAAGTATAATTGTACCGTGCGATTAAAAAAATAAATATTAGTTGCGTTAACGTCCTGCATCATTTGTTTATATACCTAGTGGATCACGAGTTGAGGACAAATAAAAAACTTTTCCTTAAATAGCCGACGTTTCGAAATGTTATTATTTAATCATCAGGGCTGTTGGACAGATGTTATTAATAATTAGGTACATGGTGGAAAGATTGCTTTGTGTGTTACCTTATAAGAAAATTACTACATGAGGAGTTTTTTGTATAAAATGATTTTTCATCATTTTTTGTCAATTGTATGTGGTTGAAGGTAACATATTTAGAACTATTGAAAACTATAGAATATTATGTAAATTGATAACACATTAAAAAATCGACAAATTGTGTATAAATAATAAAATTTTGAAACGTCGGATATTTAAGGAAAAGTTTTTTATTTGTCCTCAACTCGTGATCCACTATATAAAAAAATAAATAAATTAGAGTAGGCGGTGATTAAAGTCCTTCAGATAGCAATCCTGATTTTTGACATAAAATGTAGCCGAAATTTTGACAAGTTTGCGTTTTATTTTGAGTAAAATGATGTTCTCTTTAGCACAGAAAATTTTTATTGTTGCAAGTTACTACAAAAATGCTGTACAGGGTGTTGCATTTTGGATGTCCGAATAGGGAATCTCCGAAACTAAGAGGTTTAGCCAAAAAACGAGTAATACATTCTGGGGCTCATTTTTTGAGAAAATAATATTGGTTAAAACCGCATCCCGCTATCGTCTTTTGTTTTCGACTTATAGACAAAAATTGACATTTTAGCGAAATCTAAAAAAATTCATATTTTCGTTATTATAGAAGACACATTTGAAATAAAGACACTATATAGGCACTTTTTTACGTAGAATTTAATAATGTAGTTAACAATGTTTTTCAGTTGTTTGTTTAGCCGTGATAAAATAAACTTGTATTTTTTTAAATGGTAATCATAGATGGCTATGTCATTTTTAAAAAGCTTGTTTTTTTCTTATCTAAAAAATATATATTTGTAACAAATTATTATAATACATTTTTAGCAAAAAATTATCTTTGATTTTTGTTCGCAGTTGGCCATGAAAAAATGTTGCATCTTCAACTAAAAGGATTTAAACTATATTATATTCAACCAGTGTCACTAATGAAAGAGTTTTCTAAGTACTAAGTYATGAAAAAGATGCAAAATAAATTGTAAATCAACTTATTGGCGACTAATAACATTTTTTTGTTTTTAAACAAGCTAACATTACCATTGCAACTTCTAGTGATGCATAGAGTGTTGTAAAAAAAAGCCCCTTTAATTCTTCAATAAAATATATTTTATATGACACAAAAATGACGATATGGCTATTCAAATACCCAAATTCCGTCTATGTGAAACGTTATCCTACCTCCATTAGATCATCAAAAAAATGTTGTTTTTTTTTGTGTTGACTGTTGACATATTTGTTATTCCTATTTTTGGATTTTTTAAAAATATGTAATAATTTTGTTTTGAGGCGCTCTGATATTTGTTTAATGCTTCTATCGTATCGTATTTTTTACATCTTTATAATTTTATCTATTTTTTCATCTATTTTACAGTTCACAAAACTCTTATTGATTATTATTTACACATTTGGAGTGAAATAGTTTTTCCATGGCCAACTATTATCACACAAAATATGTATTTCACTTTTTAAGTATAGTTATAAAAAAATATTTTGTTACAAATATATATTTTTTAGATCAGAAAAAAATAAGCTTTTCAAAATTGCCAAAGCCGCCTATGATTTCCATTTAAAAAAATAAAAGTTTATCTTATTACGGCTAAACTAATGACTGAAAAAAATTGTTAACTACATTATTAAATTCCTCGTAAAAAAGTGCCTGTATAATGTCTTTATTTCAAATCCGTATCTTCAATAATAACGAAGATGTAAATTTTTTTAGATTTCGCCAAAATGTCAACTTTTGTCTGTAAGTCGAAAACAAAAGACGATAGCGGGATGCGATTTTAACCAATATTATTTTCTCAAAAATTGAGCCCCAGAATGTATCACTCGTTTTTGGCTAAACCTCTTAGTTTCGGAGATTCTCTATTCGGACATCCAAAATGCAGCACCCTGTACACAACGAAAATGGTAAATGGTCATTTTCCCTTCCAGTTTGTGTGGAAAATTAAAGCAAAAGTTGTTGCTAACTGTAGAAGATTAATCGTCGCCTACTCTAATTTTTTTTTTCGCTCGCATCCGGACGTGTCGCGATACCAACCCAATATGTTTCAAATTACTGCAATTTACAAATTTTAGCATAGCGATTCTAGTACTTTTCTTGTTGTAGAGTTTTTCACCAAGATGTCAAA